TTTCACTGAAATGCAACTCTTAACGTTACTAACACTGAGGAAGTAAATCTACTTGTTATTTTTTGTAGTCTGAAGACATTTTTCCTTGTTATAAGTTTAAGGTTGGTATCTTGTACAACGCATCTTCCCCTTCACAATTTTTATGCTTTTCATCAGCTTTCAACCCCCTCAGAGTATGCAAGGAAGGAGAAGAATAGGTGTATTTAGTGGTTGTAAAACTTGGAGAAGTTTTGAGGTTGTAAAATACAAAGATGTTTAAGGATAGTAGGAGCTTATATGAGCAGGAAAATAATGTAACCTTTCAGACTTTTTTTTTTTTTACTAAAGTCAGATGACTTTTGCCATCTATTCAATAGTTTGTGCATTGCATTGATTATTTATGCCTAGCAAATTGACTGTTGTGTGGTGGTTCAATGGTGCTCTTTAAATAGTGTGCATGAAATGCAGTACTAGCTAAAACAGCTTTTTAGAGTTTCTTCCTATCACCATAATCCAGAAAACATTTTGAAACTTTTGTGGGAACCAATATTTGTTTTACGCTCCCCTCCCTTTTTTTTAAAAAAAAAAAAAAAAAAGACCGTTTGTATTGCTAGTTTCTTGACTACTTACTGTCGCAGCTACGAATAGTGTGGTGCCATAGACGAGCATGAAATGGAAACACTCAAGCTAACTGATTTAACAAGGAGCTTCAGAATGGAAATGCATCAAAATCTTCATATGCAGCCAAAGCAGGTGTTGCGGCATCAGCAGCAGGCACTGAACGTTCATACAGCTTTTAGTTCAGCCACACTACCAGCCTCCTCAAAGCACAGAGGAAAATTTACAAACCTGCGTGATAGTGTGAAAAAGAGCCCTACAAAAAGCACAGCAAAAGTAAAAGCTACTAGTGGTTGGGTGTCTGATGGCTCATGCTCTAATTGCTCTTTGGAAAAGGTATGTATTGTACTCCGTATTTACAGATAAGCTTTTTAATAAGATTTTATGCTTCTTAGGGAATGAGACCAGGTGGGTTTGATGCAAACTGTAGAAAGTATGCTGTGAAAGCTGCCTGGTAAAGAAATACTTCTGATCAGTGTTTTCCCATTAGGATTATGGGGTTCACTGTTCTGTCTTCTATAGTAACTTGCTGCAAGTGAGGAAAGTCTTGGTCTGCTTTGTTTTTCTTCAAGTTTTACCATAGTGCTTTAGCAGAATTACTCTTTAGTGTAGGTGTTAGTACGTTTTGTTACTCTGACTGATTGTGTTATTGTTCAAGTCACGCATTCCTATATGCGATAATCTGTTGTGATTGTATAGCATAGTTCATATAGAGTCAAAATAAACTTTTTAATAGACCCATTACTTTTTTTGTAGTTTAGATCAGTTTGTGTCTGTTTAAACTGGAATTATTAAATGCTGTAGTCAGAGACATCTTTGTTCAAAGTTATTTTGGGGATAAGCTTTGAAATCCCCCACCCCCCCACCCCCAACTGCTTTGGCATGTTAGTTTAGAAAATCCCTAAACATTAAAAATGTTCCTTTCTGGAAGCTGCTGGGAAGCGGAGCGTGGAAAGTAACATCCCAGTCTATTTGAGTCTCTTCAGCTGCCCTTGCAGCTGTACCATTATAATCCTTGTCAGACTGATCGTGCTCCATACTAAGATATCATTAGCATTCTCCTTCAGTTTAGAAAAATGTCCCAGGTTGTCTACTCTTATGGTTAGAAATCTTATTTCTTGTGTTCTTTCACTTTTAAGTGATGGGGTAGTTTTTAGGGCCCTATATTTGGGAACAGAAATAGTTCTTCCATTACTCACCGTTCTCCCCCACCTCACCTTAGCTGATTTGGTCTTGCTTGGGCTTTTTCCCAGGGAACGTGATGGGGCTGTAGAAAAAGTAGATACCTGCAGGTTGCTTGAGGTCTCCTCCTTTCTTGGGTTTTAGTGTCCTCTTCCTTCCCTCCTACCTTTCCAGCATGACTCTCTTCCCCCATCCACACACTTTCTACTGCTTGCAGACTTTGTGCATCTATAAGTTTTGTTCTGCTGCTTCACTGTGAGGCAAGTAAGGGGTACTGGCCTTTGGGAAGGGAAGGGAAGTGTGAACTGTCCGCACTCCCATCCTGGGATGAGAGGCTGTATGCTCAGCCTTTCCCCAACTCTGGGGAGAACAAAAAATGAAATGTGGGCAAGGGTACAACTGAGTGGCATGTGTGGCGCACACAGACCTGAGATTGTGCCTCACCAATATTGTGTGGCCTGAATGCCTTATCTTGATATCGCATACATTCAGAATTGCTATATTACTATGGTATCTGTATATAAGCCATTATCAATCTAAGAAACTTCCCTTCCACCAGTGTACTTAAGGAGAAGAATAGGGTCTCCTCTTAAGCCTTTATTTTGCTAATTGAACCAAGCCACGCACTTGTTTTCTTTTCTCCAAATATGAGATCTTCATTCTGTTAGTTGTCTCTGCAGCTCTCCATTGAACCTATTCTAGTTTGAACTCTTTTTCAAAAGTGGTTTAGTTTCGTATAGTGCTCCAGTCTGTATCAAATGTAAGAGTAGAGGAATTGTGTAAGGCAAAGGAGGGCTTTTAAAGTTAAAGTGGGGCTTTTTACTTAAGATAAGTTACTAAATAAATCCTTCATGATTCTTGTTTAATTGAAAACTTTTGAAGTATTTGGGTGTTTTTCCAGGGTGTTTCATACCAAATTTTAAGATGAGCAGTAAAATTCAAGTAATATAGGCTAAGTAAGTGTGTTGCAAAGCTGTGCTTCCTTTCCTCTGGTTTCCTGCCTTTCATGTGGTAGCCATAGCACTTACATCAGTTTATTATATTCCATGAGACTTCAAATGTTCAAATGAAGACAGTCTTGTCTTATTCTGATTTGCATATCCTGTGAAAAGGGTTGGCAAAGTTGTCATCTCTTCCTTCATCCACATGGTAGTGGAGGAGACTCAGAAGGAACGTTGGCGTTGAGCTTGGCCAAGCAGCTGAAGGCTTTTTAAGAGTTGGTGGGTGCTAAGCCAACAGCACAAACGACAAATACTGTGGTAGTAGTATCAGTTTATGAGGCTGGAACCTTAAAGAATAAAAGGACCTTGAAAATGAAACATTTTAAATTATAAAGATAAAAATTGGAACTGCTGGGGAAGGGTTCTTGGGGCCTTTGGGAATGAGAAGCCCTGAAAGAGACTAAGGAGTTAGAAGCTGAGACAAGCAATGAAGCAGGAAAGTAAGGCTGGCGTTTGGGGCTAAGATGGGTCTGCAGATTGTCTGGCCCACAAAGAGATCTACTGTGTTAGTTATTTTGCTAATTCAAATGGTAAGTAGTAAGAACAATTTCGGTAAGTATTGTAATAGTCGACATGACTTCAAAAATTTTTTTTATTTTTAATCTCCTCTTATTTCAGGAGTGATGGCAGCTGTAAAGCTGGAGTTTTCTAACCTACCACTGTCTAAACTTTTCATCATATTGTATTGCATTTTTACATGTAACATGCATATAGCTGAAATGTTCACTAATGGGATGTTTATTCTGTGCATACCCGTGAAGCTGCTCACTTTGGAACGAGGCAGATTTAAAGGGCTGGCCTATTTCTCTGCGTATGGGAGGCTATACTGTAGTTGCTCAAACTAGTTAGTTTGATCTGTCCTCTGAAGGCTGCATCGTTGATCTCCCAGTAACTGGAGGTCTGTTGCACTGAGCATGTGCTGTGACCCTTAGGATATGGCTATTCTCAGTTTTTTGGACCAATGTAGATTGCATTTTTTTAATATCTGAAAGACTGTAGTGTTGTCCATAGATGTAAAGATGTTTAAATGTCACTAGTAATCATCTTTCACGTTACCAGACATATCTTTTGATGTTTTTACATCTTGTAATTACTGTAACTTTTTCACCAGCTGTTCACTTTGGATAGATAGTTTGAGCTGAAAACACCTATATACATATCAAATATACTCTAGTAAGGGATGCCAATCTTGGGTAGTGTTAAATGTCTTTAATCTTTGCTTTTGCTGTTTGGTTTGGTTTGTGCTATTGAGGTATTTTGCCTCTTCTATTAAATCATCTGAACCTTTAAAAATATTTTTAATACTTTCATGTTCTGGGTTTTTTGTCTGTTTTCAGGATTTAGTAATTTTATTGTGTTTGTCATTAAGCTTCAGTTTACTTCAAGATCACAAGAATGTCTTGGAAAAACTAAGTTGCAAGAGCTTTGATCCATAATTCAGCTTATAGTTTTGATTGTAAGTGCCAGTAGTTTCTGTTGACAGCTTGTTGACAGCCAGTATGTTAACATCTCAAAATGATTTGAATCAACATTTAGCCCAGAATTATTTATAATCTTGTTTCCCTTGCAGCATGTCAGCAGCTTTTTCGGTTTTGTTAAAATTCCAAAAAGCAAATCCTTCATAGAATGAAGTTGATGTGCCGCATGTTTGTATAGTAAGCCTATATGAAGATCTCTGAAAGGATGGAAAGAATGTGTGTTAGGGTCTTCGACTCAGCTGACCAAGAAATTTTATTTAATTTTAGCCCAGTTTAGGAAACGCAGGATTTTTGTTCTCCTCCTTTATCAAAAAGGAGCTGTAGGTTTGTTTGGTACTATAAGCTTGAATGACTATTTCCCTCCTTTTGCACACTATTGTGAAATGATGAAGGGCTTCCGCTTTGAAAGCGGCCCCCATCAAGTCTGAGTCTGTCCATTACATGAAAAGGTTTTCTGGTGGGTAGCTCCAAAGTCTTGCTGTTCTGTACTGCAAGGTAAGTTGATATGAATAAATGATGTGGATGCTTTTCTGGATTCTGTGCCATCAGCATATTGTTGGGAATGCACCATCATGTACAGTGTGGTTCAGGATGTCTGTCTGTTTTCAGTTGGGTTTATAGTCTTCAAATCAATATGCTATTGAGTGTTACAACATAAAAAGCTATTAAATTTGAATCTTTTTTGTTTTGAAATGTTTTCCTACCTTTTGTTATTTTTTGACGTTTTATTGGTGATTTTTAGCCCACAGAAGCTGTTTCTTCCTCTTCTCCCATTGTCCCTGTGATCCCTGTCCCTCCAGTCCCTGCTGAGACCACTGTCATCCCATCCACCATACCACAGGTTTTTATTCTTTTTTTGTTTGTTTGTTAAATTTGTTCAGCTTTTCATTTATTGAATTTAATTCATTGTTGTTGTTTAACTTTTTGGTGTAGTGCACACATAGGTCTTAAACTGTGAAATAGCGAAACCAGTAATACACTAGAGTTCTTTATAGGTATGTTTTTTGATATTTTCAGATTATTACGACTTTTTCATAGATGTTTCTGTGGGATTGTCCTTTCCTTTCTTTATATAGCTTCTAAGGAAACAAATGCTTGAAAAATTTAAGGATTAGTATTTCTAAAATCTATATTCCAAAGCCTCAGTTTCCCAGAGGTTGCCTTGTACCCACTTTGTTTCTTGTCTTGCAGTTCATTCTGAACTGGATGGGCTTTTACAAAAGTTACTTTAAAGAAAAAAAAACATTACTATACTTCCTACAAATAAAGTCAGTAAGGCAGAGGAAAAATATTACTGTAAGATGGGCAATATGCTTGAAATCGTGCGTCGCCCTTGTAAAAATGCATTTGAGAATCTGTAAATTACTGCTTATGTAGTCTTTGTGTGTTCGTATAGCAAACCTGAAAAGACTTTCTAAAATATCCTTGAAGTAATGAATTTGGATTCTAAGTAAAACAAGCAAGCATTTGTAAATCATTAATGTGAATTTTTCTGTCTGAGAAGGAACGACCTACCAAAATGTGACTGGAACATATAAAAACCGCAGTGAAATAGATAATTCAAAATATTGAAGGCCACGTAAGTAACAGCAGTCTACTAGCAAGATACTAGCAAGATTTTTTTTCAGAGGGAAAAAAAAGTAGGGCTTTTTCTGAGAAGGGTGTATTTGTGTGCAAGCCATCTACTCTACGGTCTTAGAAATAGGTGTTAGTTTATTGGCTTCGGAATTAAAGTTGGTTAAATTTTTTTCATTCTTCCCGACAGGAAATTATTTCCAATTTCATTTTGTGTGTATTTGTCATATTATAAGTATGCATATGTATGTACATGCATAGATGGTGGGGGGGGGGAGATTTGTGTTGTGATGCACTAAAATGACAGGAGAGAGTTGCAGCACCCCCGGGCTGCTGTTGCTCAGGTTCCTGGGCCCTTCCCTAGGTGCCTGCGCTTGCCCTTTGCTCTTTTCCTTGCCAGCCAGCTAAAAGCCCTCAGAGGCCACTATGACAAAGCAAGCTACACACCTGGCTGAGATTGGGGTGGAAGTCCTGTGAATGAGTGCCAATTGTTTCATTTATTTTTTTTATCACACATGGTACTACTGTTTTTGAGTGGCAGGTAAAATGAAGTATTAGTTATGGGGAGATCTGGAAGCGCACAAGACTGTCTTCTGCTTTTCTGGGTAAAGAAGAGAATAATAATCAGCTAACATCTTGTTTTGGCAAATCTCCTTTCCACTCATGCATGATAATTTATCATGATTAAAATTTGCGTAGTACCAATAATGATTTTTCAGATCATTGGCTAAAATGAAAAAAAACTACCTTCAAAGTCCAACTGCAGTGAAAAATCTTTCTTTCTTTTATTATTTTCTTACTCATTTTAAGACAAATCATAGTCATCTAAAAGAAAACATTTTTGGGGGAGTTATTTAATTTGCTTCATTTTTTTAAAAATTGCCTTTATCAAAGCAATATCATTCTGGAAATTCAAAACAAATAAATTGGGAAGTATTGAACTGAAATGGTTATTTTCCATCTGTCTGACAAAATGCTGTTATTTCTCCAAAAGACAAGTTAGCGTTTTGGATCCGTGCTTGTTTTGATCACTTTCAACTCCCTCAAACATTTACATTATATCCTCTAGTTGCTGCTAAAACTATATAGTGTTTCACTGTAGAGTGCTACTGAAAACACAGGATCTGAATCCTGGCATGCAATTGTACCGTGAGACTGTTATCATCACGCTTTTTTAGTTTCCTGTATCTCTTGAGGAAGAAGCAAAAGGGGCAGAGAGCAAAGGAAATGTTATTGTATTTTTATGGGGCCTATCTCATCTTTTTTGTTTTATAGCAGCTTTTAGTCCATTTAAATTATTTATATTTTCATATGTAAGCTTATTAATCAGTTGTGAAATAGCTAAAGGGAAAAACTCCAAAGGAATGGAAAGGAAAGAGAGAATAGGTTGTTTTTTTTTTCCATGTTCTCACATGGAAAACTCTTAAGTGGAGCCATTCCACCGTGGATGAAAGGTGGAAGGATGTAACTGCTTGTTACTATTATCAATTATTATTTTTCCCTCTAGCCATTTGTTGGTATTAGCAAGCATTTAGAATGCAAAGATTTTTTTTTCCTCCCTCTCTATTCCTAATATACTGCTGCCTTATAGAGCCTTCCTTCTGGGTCATCGTATTTTAAAGCACTTGAAAGCTTTTTTGGTATTGACATTAAGAGACAGATAAAAGCAGTAAACATGAGCTAACACGAATATCTTGCATATAACCTTGAATATATGATCACAGCATGGCCAGCTATGGGATAATTTAGATAGGTAGGAGTTATTTTTACATACTGAAGATGTGATTTTTCTGCTTTTATTTTATCATGCCTTTTATGATGACTTTCAGTGCAAAAATCTCAAACAGTGGATTTTTTTAATGTGTAACGGATTGTTTGGTGGCAGATGTTTGTTAACTTTAAAAGGCAGTGAAACGCAAGAATGATTATACAAGAATATTTTTTGTAGTCTAAAAGTCAGTAGTTTTTTCAACTTTGCTCAACTTGCAACAGGTGCTGATCTTAACTCTATTATGAATTTAAATTTTACTCAGGCTGGTAGTGACTGGAAGTTTTTACTGTTTTGCTATTGTATGGCCTGGTTTCTAGTGGATACCTGTGTACGTGAAGTTGTCACCTATGCTTTTCTCAACAAGCAGGCCAAAAATTTGGGTGGTTTCAGAGCTGTTTCCTCCCTTTCGAGGGATTCTGTCCGCAGCAGGATTTGGGGCGAACGGACCAGGGCAGACCAGCGCTCCTCTGCTCTTGGCTTGATGGCTGGAGATAGCTCAGTTCCCAGTACTGCTTACTTTCGGGGACTGCTAAACTAGACTAGTAGACTGCTAGTAGACTAAACTCAAAATTTTGTTAAATGTATTTAAAAATGATTAATGCTATGTATGTATCTATACTCTCTGACTGAAGAAGGCTGCTAAGCTGGCTCGGCTGGAGCAGTGCCCGTATCCATTGATGGGGCTGGGTTACGAGCCGAACAGTAACAGCTGAGTGACTGGTGCTTCGGTCTCCCGAGGGCGTCTAAGTGCCTGCAGGAATTACCTATATAACTCTGCATCATACTTGATTATTCTAAGCAGTCAGAAAGTACCATAGAAAGTTAACAACTCTGGATTTGGCAGACACGTTTTTGTGCAATAGATAAACCTCTCTGTTTTGATAGTTGCTTTCCCCCCCCCTTAGGCAAGCCCTTAATCTGCTTGTAAACAAGCTTGTCAAATGGCCTTTAAATATGAACGAGCCTTGGCAGCGATGGCTTGGAGAGCTCTTGCACAGCAGACTGAAACATCAGCTCTCCCTTCCAAGCCGAGCTGATGTTTGAGTTACATGTTGCCCTGTGTCTTCGCAGCCTCCCGGCCTGCGTGCGGAATGTCTGGCACAAACCTCTTCTCCTTCCTGCTTGGAAATGACGCAAAATTGTTGCTGCTTGGCGTAAAATACGAACGAATGCAGGACTGCTAGGAGCTATCGTTGAAACTGGGGAAGATGCTTAGGTCGTTTGTGTCTGAAACGTACCGCTCACATAGAAAGCGCAGTTACTGATGGCAGTTTGTTTTTTAGCTTGTTTTCCTCATCTCCTTTTTAGACAGGAAAAAACACGCAGACTGTCAGCCTCAAGAAACAGGTTCATAGGAAACTAGCCTTCACCAAAAACTGCTTTTGTGGAATTACTTTGCTGTTACAGAATCCTAATATTAAAATAAATTCCAAAAGTTGAATGAAATGTAAAGAACATGTGGCTGAACTTTCAGAAATAACTTTGGTCTTGTTGTCTTGTTTTATAAACTGGAGGCTTCTTAAAACCAGTAGCATGTTGTCATGGCAGTGAGACTGCAGTGTCTGTGTGACCTGTATGAATAGGTCAGTGAAATCTTCTTGGTTTTGTAAGTCTCAAGTTTATCACTGAGTATGTTTAATATTAGCTTTTATTACAGCATGTTATACTCTCCCTAAATTAATTTTGTGTATATGTATGCATATAAATATATGAATATGTATGTGTATACATAAAAGAAATCAAGAGTGTCAAGCTTTCTTTTATCTATAAGAATATCTGCTTAAGTAAAGTAGTAAGGAGATTACTTCTAGTGGTGTGCCACCAGGCTTGTATCTCTCATATTGGACTTAATATATCAGCAGCATTTGGGATCAGGAATATATCTGTACATATTTTACTTTATTTTTTTAGAGCAGTCTGGAATCCGCTAGGCCTAGCGTCTGCTAGGCATTCACAAAATCGCTCTCTGTATGTCTTGGAAGCTTCTTTGTCAGTTGAAAAGAGCACCTAGCTGTAACACATGTGAGAAGGAGTGCAAACATCTCTGGCTTCTCATTTTGTGCCTGCAGTTAGGATGAGGTCCAAAAAGTGTTTTATTCCATCCAGCCTCTTCCTAATTAAAAAAAACAAAAAAAACTGCAACCAGTTTTAAAGGCAGACAATTAATGTAAAAACAGGAAATCTGTTTATCTGAAAGTGTTTTAGATAAATTACATCATTCTGTATGGATTTTTCTTTCAGATAAAACCTCTTTTTTCATAGTAACATTCTCAACAACATGGGAGAACAAGCACACTTGCTTAGTTTACCAGTTCCTAGCTAACACCATTTCCCATTCCTACAGTAGTAATTTCCAACTTCTCACTGTTAAATCTATCAACAATTTCTGATGGAAGCACATGCTGCTGTACAGTGGATGAATGCCTGCTGACGTGGACTTGCTTTCCTAAGTCAGTTCTGTGGCTCTTCCATAAATGTGCATTTCTGTAAGTCTGCATCCCATAGTTGGGAGGAGGGGGGAAAAAAAAAAAAGTTTGGTAGGGTAAGGAAAGGGAACCCAAGCCACCAAAATTCAGTTTTAAAATACTGGCTGGTGAAGCAACTTCTGAATGTCATATCACAAATGCTAGGATAATTCATGTTGGGTCAAATGAGAGCATGATTCTTTTCTCTTGAAAAACAGAACAATAAATGATAGAATTTGTGTGTAGAATAAGTGGGCTCAGTTCTGGAAGGGTGTTTTTTGTAGGGTGAAAGCAACATGTTCAGGTCAGGAAGCTAGAAACAAGTATTTCAGAAGGCCAGAGGTGAATTATCGAGATTTTCCAGTTGAGGCTACCTTTTAACAGATCTTTGAGAAACTAAACAAATCAAAAGATGCCTAATTTTTGTTAGTATTGTTTTCTCTTATTTTTAACAATATTTATTTCTCTTTTATAGGCAAATCCCCCTCCGGTACTGGTGAATACAGATTCTTTGGAAACTCCGACATATGTAAGCTTATGTTTGCTTTCAGTTACAACTTTAGGTAGTATTTTGTATATGTAGTTGTCTAGGTCTGTTGTTACTGATTAATAAAGCCTATTTTACCTCTCTTACGAGGCACAGTCTCTTCAAATGTCCTCATGGTTATCTGAAATGCTTAAATAGCTGTTTCATGGAAAAGAATTGGGTAGATTCCAAGGGGAAAGCTCTATGAGTATCGCTGTGCATGACAGTGCAAAGTGCAGCTGTTTGGATACTCAATTAACCTTAGACAACAATCTATTTCTTTAACTGTGCAGACAGATATTTTAATATTTAATGTGCCATTTCAGTTGCAATTTTCATAAAATACTTAATGCAGGGGCTGTACTTAAAATTGTAGTGCTCTAAATGTTCAGCGAAAATGTGTTGGTTCCGTTTGAAACATTAAGCTAATAAGTGTAGTTAGAAGGAGGCTAAAATTAGTGTTTGGCAGTACATGTTTTTTGCTAGGAATACCCTTGGCAGATGCAGGCTTTGGAACGTATGCAAGTTTGACATTGGTTTTAAGTCTGAAGTTTCCTTCTTTATCTTTCTCCTGTAGATGCTTGTATTCCACTTTCCTGTTGCTTTCCTAAACACAGTGTTGATGTCTGTACTAGTTCCTTTATGTTACATTTCTTTAGGTACTGGTATTAGCAAGTAAAGGAGAAGAATGAATCTTGTCCTTATCAAAAGCATTGCTGCTTATCAAAATTGCTAGGAAGGAGCTTTAGTAGCTCAAGATTGACAAAAGTGTGAATTAACCGATTAAATAGAAGATTAAAAAGATTAATACAGTGACATAATTGGCTCACAAATCAGACCCAAGTCTATGGACAATATTGCCTCTGACTAAAAAGATCCCAGCAGAATTCCCTCAGTGTGTGGCCCTCTGCTCTATTGACGTGATGCAGATAAGGTTTAGAAAAAGATGTGGAATGTGAGGTAGCTCCCTCTGCACGCAAATGGTACTGAGAAGAAATGGGATTGAGAAAATAGGCATTCACATTTCAGATGGCCCCAGCTGATAAGAGCACTGGGAGGACAGTAGGTAATAGAAGCTGGAAGAAAAGCTAGAACTAACAGAACAAATTGGCACTCAAAATTATAAGATACCTAAGTTATCAGTTTTCAGTGAGCGTAAAACAAGCAAATCCCTAACCGTTGTAATCTAACCTACTGTGTAATCATAGGAGGCTGAGTAAAGGAATAGCTTCCCAGGTTCAAAGTCACATAGGTAATGGAATTGTTAGGTGATGCATAGTGTAAAATCGTATCCACGAGGTAACTACATCATGAATCAGCAAAATCTTAATTACTAAACCTTTTTTCTATTAAAAAACCAAGATGTGGATCTACGAAGTCAGCAAGGGACTAGTGGTCAGAAGACAGTTCTCGTTATCTGGATCGTGAAACTGCTGAGCAAGTTCTGTTACTCAAGCTCATACTGGGCTGGAAAAAAACCACGAATAAGCATTTTTTTATCCTTCGTAAAAGCCCAAGGAAGTCCATACACAAGCCAAGTTGGTAGTACGCCAAAAGGCTAACCCTACCATCAGAATTAACTTGAACTTTGTAGACAGCACTTTCACGTCAGTACAAGCAAAGGATTATAACCACATTTTTTTCTGAACTGGGTATTCATATTCAAAGAAAATTGCTGGATTTTTGTGGTGACATAATTACAGCAGTTGTACAGGAACTTCCTTTCATCAAGGAGAACTCCCTGGAAGTAAAGCTTGGCTCGGTAGATGTAAAACCACTACAAAACTTGTAAAAATGTGAGATAGGATTGTAATTTTTATGATTTGATGTATCCTTGCTGCTGTTTTTGTTAATTTTGTTCATTGAATGAAATAATTCAAAGGTAAATAAAAAAAAAAAAGAGGAGATCTGTAAAACTGAGATAAAGCAAAAGATGAAAATAACGAAGACCTTTTTTGCTTCTATTTATCTATGTTAACATTGGATGGCAGAGTTTTGTTTGTAGAAATAGACAGGAGACTGCTCAACTCTTAGGGCTGGCGTTTTTCCCTTTTTGTTTCACCTAATGGCAATAAATACAGAAATGATGAATTATTCTTATTATAATTACAAAAAAAAGGGAAACCACATACTGATCAGTCATCATGAAACATTTCCCAGGTGCTGTAATACTAGATGACTGGGTCAGTTAGCACATGTTGGTTTTGTATGTAATAGCTCAAGGACTCAGTTAATGTAAAAGCTATTCTTGATCACAGTGGCTTCTCTGGTGTTGGTGTAGTAAAAGATAAAGTTTCATGTATTCGTAAGGTCAAGACCTTTTCCCTTTTTTAATGGAGAAATATCATGTGTTAAAAGCACAGTATCTTTTTTTCTATTGAACAAACTGTTAAGGACATACCATATTTGCGGTACTAGGCAAAGAGGAAGATAGTAACCTGTTATGTCTGGAATGGACAAATTGCAGTATGGGGAGATATAATTAGAGATTAAGAAAAACTTTTGGAATGAGGGATGAACTAGCCCCATAATAAATTGCCTATGAAAGTTGTGGCATCTCCAGCAATGGAAGCATTTAAAAATGTTAGATAAGCATGCCAGGAATGATACAGACATGATCTTAAATTTTGCTGGGGGTAAATTTGGCCGTTCCTTTTTTGTTCTCTGCTAGAAAACTGTACATGTCTGAAAAAGTTTCTATGCATATATATTCTTACATCTTTATAAAAACTTCAATAGTTTGGTAAGACTACAAAAGATTGAGATTTACAAGACTTTAGAACAGACAAGATGCTTTGTAAAACTATGTATAAATGGTATCTCTTAGCTTGTTAAATATTTCATCCTAAAATGCTTGAAATGGGGAGTAACCTGTAAGTGCATGTGATGCATGCTGTCTTAGGTAGACGTAGAAGAAAAGATCCTGAAATCCAAAATGTCAGCAATTAAGATTTTGGTTAATGTTATGCTTATGGTAAAGATGGTAAAGAGCCCCAACCCAAAAATGATGTGTGGGGTACATAATTTCTTGATTCTTTTTAGCTGGAATAAGTAGGCAGCAAAAGTATTGGATTTTGTTGCAAGATTAAACATGTTTTTCGGGCTTCATTGTGGTGTGGGGTATAGTGTTTTTTTGGTGTGTGTGTGTGTGCGCGCGCGTGCGTGTGGTTGGTTTGTTTTTTAGGTTCATACAAAAAGGCTTCTTTTAAAGCACCTATCTCTGATTTTCTCTGGTCAGTGAGGAGCGATACTTTGGAAGTACTGTTCTGTCCATATATAAAGCCTCTTCTCTGTCCCCTTCCTGTTCCGTCAGTTATAACTTTCTGTGTGGCTGGAGGAACATTTGAGGATCCTGAGATCACTTTTTTTTTTTCTGGAAATCGTAGATAGAGGGCCTCTGCTCTAAAATATCTATATTGTCTGGAACACTTATTTAAGCTAATATCTGAGGAGTGTCTGATAATTCAGGTAGAAGAGAATGGGAAGATCACAAGCCCTTTCTAAGCTCTCTGAGCAGTGTGTATCAGCTGTGATTTGATGGGAGTGAGTTGCCAGCCTACCAAACTGTGTCCTGTGTAAAATTCTCCATAAGTCTCATTTTTCTTTTGTTTTAGGTCAATGGCACAGATGCAGATTATGAGTATGAAGAAATTACTCTCGAAAGGGTAATATATTAAATGACTTCCTGTACTCTGTTTTGAAGTGTGACTCATGATATTTAAATATAAAAAATTAATCTCTTTTGATAGCATGCTGTTAAAAGGCAATCCAAAAAAAATCTTACTGTTTTTTCTAGGTATATTATTTAACCTAAACATTAAAAAAAAAAAAAACCCGCATACAATGTTGAATATGTATCAAAAGGAAAAATGTTTTTGTCCTCACTTCCTAATTGTAATATAATATTCAGTTTTTAATGTTGTGTTGGTAACTGAACTGCAGTTTTTTCAGTCTCTATGCTTTCTTGCATATTAGATGCAATGTAGACAAATTTTAAGTTGCCAAAAATCCTGACGCTTCTCTTATATTGTCCTCTTTAAGCTGCACAGGTCCTTCAAACATTTAATTAGAAACAAACCTTTTGATATTTATTGATGCTGGAGTAGGGGTAGAAGCTTTTATTAATATCCTTTATTAATATCCAGCTGTGCAACATGCTGCATTTAGCCTTGTTATCTAGAATTCTACAGAGTAATACAAATTGTGGTTAAATTTCATATTGCAGTCTGTAACAGGGCTTTTATTTATGCAAATAAGTTTTATTTTGTATGGAGGCTCAGGTCACTAGTTGATTACAAGTGACACTGTCATATGTATTGCTTTGTTAGGTTTACAATGTAAAGGTCTATTACAGTTCTTTAATGAACTGCTTGGTTCTACACTAACCAAAAGAAAAATCACAGTTGCGCTGGGGTACTGGTACGGTTCTGGTTGTACCGAGAGGGGGAAGAGGCATCGCCGTCTGTCATAGGGGCAGGCAGCCTTCAAGCAGAAGGTTTCAGCCTGACTCTCTGCATCTATGAGGACATACTGCATATATGACGCAAGTTACTGGGGGAATTTTAAGGGGAGAAAATAAGCTATCACTAATAATTTAGTGAGGAACAAATATTCATGTGAATAATCTCAAAAAACGTTCTCACTGGAGAGGGAAGTCTTGTCTAGTTGGTCAGGTTCAGCTCAATGAGAAAGCGATGGTGGCGGTGGCAGCTGTAGCTTTTGCAGTGCCACAATCTGACTTACCCCCCTGCTTGCTTCTGTGGAAGCAAGTATGTATTTCATATGATTACATTTATATATTACATATGGTTATACATAGGATGCAGTTGTATGATGTCAAATGTCTTTTAATAATGTTTTTATCAGTTAAAGATCATATAAATTTGGTATTATATTGAATCAATTAGATGTATTAACTTTATTGGGAAAAAATCTACTTTTTTTCCCTCATGAAAAGTATTATTTTTCCCTCTTCCTTTAGGGAAATTCAGGACTTGGCTTTAGCATTGCAGGTGGAACAGACAACCCGCATATTGGAGATGATTCGAGCATTTTCATTACAAAAATTATAGCTGGGGGTGCAGCTGCACAGGATGGAAGATTACGGTATGACAACTTTCTGTATTGGGTTGCTAAAATTTTTATTTTATCTTTTTTTCAAACAATAGAATAAATATTTTCAGTTATTTTTAGTTTAATCTCACATCGCACTTTAAAGCTTTTATTACTTGAATATTTTGTAAATAATAAATGTTTAAATGGACTGAATTTTTTTCATCCAAGAAATCTGCAGTTAAGTGACCTTAAATGAACTTGATTTTCTCTGTTCTGTGGTATAAATTGATTTTGCCAAATGTTCTGTAATCCTGAATTCAGTGTACTGTTGATGTTCTGATTTTGAACGTATTCTTCTGAAGGAAGTAATTTGGACAGTTTATCAATATCACTTACATGATGCAGAGATATGTTTGATCCCACTGCTCATGCCTCTCTTATTGCAAATGTACATTTGAATCTTGTGATTCTGCTGAAACTGCTGAGTCCTAATGGGACCTCGGTAGTGGGTTGTTCGATTACGTTCTACCAGTTTAGGGTAACTTTCTACCCTACTACTTCTCCCACGTACGCTTTATTTTTAAGCTGTATTGAATCCACATTCACATTATATTTTAATAGGTTTTTTTAGGTAGCTGATGGATGTTTCATGTCTCACGTTATAAATTGGGCAGAAGTTGTAGAATCCAGTAAAATGATGAGCTACCAAACAAAAATGGGTGGCTGAGCCGTTAGTAAGAGCAAGCAACGCTGGATAACCTGCACCATGTTTCTGTCTTCCCTCTTCTCTTTTGTGCCTGTCGTTCCACCCCCACTTAAGTTCAAGACTTCCACTAAATGCTTAAATGAAATATTTATGTAATCACTGAGTAAGCTTATCTTTTGCAATCACAGCATAATTTTAGATACTGCATGAATTGTGAGCTGAGTCTTAGCAGAGGAAATTAGGAAGAATGCAGTGGAAACATATACTTCAACTCTGTGGTTAGGACTTCTGGCAAGTAGCAGATAGAGGATCCAAAAGAATTCGTTTGGATCCACCTACATCACTGTGCTCACTGTGTAGGCGGGTGCCTTGCGAATAGCAGCAGCTCAGGCTTGTACGTAACCTGGTGTAGGGATCGTGTTTGAGATCTGGCTCAGATTGGGCCCGGCAGGGAGTGGAGGGTGGGGAACACTGGCTGGTGAATCCTGTCAAAATTTAAGTACTATGAAGCTTAGCGCTACTGAAAAGTAGGCAGCTGTAGATACACACAGCATTAGGAAGCAGCTGATGGTTATAGTTAGAAAATAAATTTTGAACTTGCTTGCCTAAAATGGCATTGACCCTATGATGTGTACCTAATATTTCTTCATTAAACTGTGTCTAGTAATACTTCCTGAAAGACTAGCGCAGGTAGGAACCAAAGACAGGAAATATATATATTTTTTCATTTAATACAATTTTTGTAATTTATTTCCATTTTTGGACTTTTTTTTTTTACTTTTTGTAAAAGGCAACTCAAATCTTGATCTTTTTATTTTGGTTATTGATACATATTTTAGGATTGTGTTTTAATTTAACCTCTTTCTCTGGCATGGCTTATATGCTCCCTGGCCGAATATAGTAGTCAAACCTAGCATTTAAATTAGATGAAATCTCACCGGATTAATTTAGCATGTATTCCAAAATAAAAATCATGTTGTCTTTAAAAATTTGTTTGTAGAGCCAGATCTATACAAACAGTTAATTTCTGTGATAAATCTCAAAATGGAAAAATTTCCACTATAGGTGATTAATAAGGGAAATGCTAAACATGTGGGTAACTCTTGGTTATCCATGGGCACATGTAAGTTTAAGCACTTATTAGGCACCTAATTGCTCTTAATTACAGCCAGCCTATACTTGATATCATCAGTCTGTGTCTTAAGTTTTCAAAGATATAGCACATCTTCAAAAGCCATAAGTTTTGTTCAAATCAGCAGTTTACTTTCTCCGTTATCCTCTCTCTTCTTATTTAATTGTGGGATGATACTCCTTCATAACTCCTAGTGAGGAAATTTTGCGTATTAGATGATAACAAGTGATACTTGCAGCTTTGTTCCAAGAGCGCTGCTAAAGGTGTTTAGAAAAATAATTCATTAATAAAACTTGTTATTAACCAGAGCACTCTTTAAGTGTACCCCATTTCAGTGCGTGAAACAAAATCTGAATTTTTTTCTCATGTATTGCAAAGAACTTGCACTATGATTTTTCATGCAGATGCCTACTGACTTATGGTTTTTAGCCTTAAACTTATTTCAAGGCTTCACGTCGGCTTATTGGCCGTTGTCAGAAGGTTTATCCGGCAGAACTTAGCAACAGGCGGGTCAGGCATTCTACTCTGTATAATGAAAGCTCAGTGGTGCTACGGCAACACATTAAATGGAGTAGGGAGCCAGCACTTTACAAGAACGACTTTTGAAAAGCAGGAAAGCAACATAAGAAGCTGATTTGTTAATACCTTGGTTTAAAACCAGTGCCTTCTGATTATATACCTCTTAGTTTCTGAATTAAACTTTTATTTCTTACACCTCTAAACAAAGGTAGTTTGTACAAAGCTCTGGTCTAAGTACTCTTTAAATTAAAACACACGTACTGTCCTCTTCAATTGTGAACAAAATGGTTAATGTAACTATTTTCTAGTTACTTTCATTTTTAAGCACTAAAAACTGCACTAATAGTTTTAAAACTATCTTTTGATTCTATATATTTTCAAAGCAAAATCTGTGCGTCTTGTTGTATTATTATGTGTTAGTGTACTTTAGATAAATACTCTCAGTCTTTTACTGTGTCCAGTGGGCTATAACACAACAGCTGAATGTGAACGTTGCTGTCCCTAGGGTAAATGACTGTATTCTACGAGTAAATGAGGTGGATGTTCGTGATGTGACACACAGCAAAGCAGTTGAAGCACTGAAAGAAGCAGGATCAATTGTACGGTTGTATGTCAAAAGAAGAAAACCAGTCACAGAAAAAATAGTAGAGATAAAACTCGTAAAAGGCCCTAAAGGTACGTAAGAAGTACGAAGCTTCTGTTTCACAAAAAGGATAGAATTGATTTTAGCATTTATTTGGCAAAATAAAACATTACCTTGCATATGAAACTCTATATGAAATGCAGAATAATGCAAGTTAAGACAGTGGCACCTTTAAATACCTCTGAATTCTTGTACATGTGTGTCATAAAACTGTTCTTGTGAAATGTATGTTTTTCTTTCAAATAGTAAGAATGAGTAGCTAAATTATGTTCTTGATAGTATTTCATAATTTTTAAGTGACTACATTATTCCTTATAAATGGGAGTAAAATATTTCATGTGGATTACCTAGAAAAATGGTTGGAGGTTTAAAAACATATTGGAAAAGGTATTCGTTTGCTTCTGTAAGTGGAGATGTTGGAAGATACTTTTCTGAATATGAATAATGCAGCTGTGCTGTGTATGGTTTTCACAAGGCATGAAGTAAATAGTTTAGCTTTTTATATTCGGAACTTCATTAAATGTTACTGCTTTCCCAAAACTGTCTGGAAAATCAAGGTATTCACTTGGAAAGGCTTGGAAAATCCACTTTTCACTTGGAAAATCCAATATTGCTTCAACTACATCCTTTTATATAAATATATATATATGTGTGTGTGCATATATATAAAAATAAAAACCTGTGTGCCTGTATGTATATATGTGTATATATTAGGTGTATATGTATATATGATACAATCTAATGAATGCTAAAAGGTTTCTTGAGCACTCGCTTCATTTTCAAGCAGGTCTTGGTTTCAGTATTGCTGGTGGTGTAGGAAATCAGCATATACCTGGAGACAACAGCATCTATGTAACCAAAATCATAGAAGGAGGGGCGGCCCATAAAGATGGCAAACTTCAGATTGGAGACAAACTTTTAGCTGTAAGTAAGAGCTGCAGTTTCTTTTATGAGCGTTCACTTTTAGGTCCCGTAAGAACGTGAGGCACTCTGTAGTTAAGCTGCCTATCACCGGAGTTGAGGGATTGTGTTGTACTATTATTTCTTTGAAATCAGTAAAATGTTGTTCTTCCAGAAAGTTGTTGATAAAATTACATCTGCCCTATGGTCTACACAGTCACTTCAGGAAATCCGAAGTATGTACAATAGGATTATTTTTCTTTTCTTTAAAAAATAAGTAAAATCCCAGAGTTGAGAGGAACTCCACGTGCTGGTAGCTGGCCAGCCTACAGTGAAACTACTGCTTGGATTGGATTTCAATGTTTATTTTAGTACTCTTGAACAGTTTATTTTTCGATACTTCAAAGCTGAATTTTCTGTGCGAGAAGGTAGCATGGCTTTCAGCTTCCCTAAATTCCACCAGCAAATCCAGTTGTCCAAAAAGGAGAGCCAGAGCCAGGAATTTGAGTTGTGAACCCATCTCTTCTAAGTCATAACCCCTCCTCCCTGCTCCAGGCAGGAACCGATTCCGCCCAAGCAGTGAAGGTGTTCAGCAAACGCCCGGCAAGAGAACGTGTTGGTCTGTTGCTCTTAGAACAACAAGAATCTGACTCTAGATGTTTAGCGTAGGGTTTTGTAGCTGTACAAAGACTTTTTAGATAGGTTTGTGATTTACAAATACCCATCTGGGAAAATTGAAGCTACTTAAAGATGAGGAATTCTGGGCATGTCTTGCGTTTTTGAGGTCACCTTACAAGCATCAGGAACAAGTTTGGGTATTTGTGAAGAAGATTAAGGAGTGTTTGCAGCGGGGAATAACTGGTCTCTGCAGCTGAGTGCTGTGTTCTACACTCCGGGTTCCTTTCATTATTATCAATAACATTACTTTTGTTCTCTGTATAAGGTGTGAAGAAATTCAGCACCTATGAAGAGAGACTGCATCTTGCAGATAAGATGCATGGCATTTCAAATGCCTTGCTGCACGGAACTGTTCTTTTGCTTATCTGCACTGGAAGATCAGAATTTCATGTCTGAGGCCTTTAAGTTGTGTTTTAAATGTTTTATAAGATCAATTTATTATATGCGCTAAGCAACAGTTATAATTATGAAAATTGCATGTGTTATTTTTGTGTCCTAGCATGTCACAGCTCTTCCTTTGTGGTTGGACAGGTACTGGCATAGAACAAGGGACAAACGCAGAAAAAGATCTCTAATTGAAATAAAGATGGTAGCTGCCAGACATGGCAGGTATTAGGAAGCAGGTGGAGGACAAAGGTAATGATGCTAACATGCCTTTGTGTAAACCAGAGTACAAAAATGGAAAACTCTTCCAGGAGCATTTTCAGTGGTAATTCTAATTTCGCATATATGTTGGTGGGCTCTGGATTGACTGCTGGCACTCAGGAATGACATCTTGGTGTTATAATGGATAGTTCTGTGAAACCAGCTCAAGATATGATGAAATCCTAACATGAGGAGTGAGGAGTAAAACAAAAACAGACAAAAGTCTTGTTTCTTTTTTTTTTTTTTAAAGCTTCCTCTTTTTTAAAAATAAAAGTTCTGATTACAGGACTCTCACTCTGGAAAACTCCCTCTTGTTAGGAGGCTTCTTTCCCCAATTATAGTTCATCACCTATAGAAGAAAACACCATGCTAACTTACTCGTATCATAAAATATATATGAAAGGCTTTAAGGAGTTTATATTAGAAATAACAATTTTAAAACGTTAATTACAGTCAGACTTCTAAGACAGACTGCTTTGTCCAGTATTTTACCTGACCAAATTGAAAGAAGTAGCTTTGAGTTAATATCAGATACTGTTACTGGGATGCAAGGGGAGCGTATGCAGTATGTTGTTGTATATAGTAAAAAAAAAACAAACTCCTGGTTTATCATAGGTGTAATCATTCCCCCAATTCAGGTAAGTTAGCAAAGGTGACTAAAACGTCATCTATAATGTCTTCTGATTAGTTCAGCTTTGCTTATTCAAAGCTGTAGTTGCTGATGTGGAGATTAGCTGCCATATTTTGCAGATTATAACTTTCCGTCTGTGTTTTTAAGCTGTACTGCAATTACTGATGCACTCCAAAGTGAAATACTTATTGTTAAAGTTTTCTTTAAATTAAAAGGCTAGTGCTAGTAGTGCTTTCAGTGATACCAACAATTTAAAAATCTCTTGGCTGTAAAGTTAAACTAGTTATTTAGATTTAAATCAGGTGATTTTTGTAGTTAGCTGTATATTTTGCAACTACTCAGTCTCTTTTGGTTTGAATCCTTTCCAGTGTTGGCCTCTACTTCAGACCTCTTGCACAAGGGTGTTGTCCCATTTATATATCTAAAACTTATATCATGACAAAATATAGAATTTCATCCGTTTACTACTTGAAAGAACATACTGTGTTAGTGCTTTGATCATAACTAGACCTGTTTGTCTCCTCATAATAAAACATGTATCAAAGAATATGCTGTTGTCCCTGTGAATTGACAGCCTAGTTAGAAAGGAGAGTGTAGATTTAGGCAAATGGTTGAGGTAGCATAAAGTAACAAGACAGTATTGGTCACTGTGATTAGCAGTAGTATCTGCATGCCTTTGATTTGGGTTGATTGGAAAGGGATGGGGGTGTGTTTTTGTTTTATTTTTAGTTTTTGAGACTGATTATGAGAAAGGATTATAAAAAAGGAGGGAAAATTGATACAACTTGGTGCAAGTTCATAGCATTTTGAGTGCGTTATTTTGTCCCTTTGATTTTCTAAAGTCCTGTTGCCTGCCTTATTGTGTTACAGGCGATACAGTTTATTGTCACCTTTTAAGGAAAGACTTCTCTTTTTCATTTGTCACGGCACTACAAAGCATCTTTGATATAATTGGGCTAGTTATGTCTGTGGCACCAGAGTCATAGTGCAGACTCCTCCTGTTAGAATGCTCCGGTGCTCCAGCGAATGTGCTGTCAAAGCGAATGTTTTTTTGCATTGAGAATTTGTTTTTCTTTTTTAATCTCTAGGTGAACAGTGTTTGCTTAGAAGAAGTTACTCATGAAGAAGCAGTGACTGCCTTAAAAAACACATCTGACTTTGTTTATCTGAAAGTTGCAAAACCCACCAGCATGTTCATGAATGATAGTTATGCCCCACCTGACATCACAAACTGTAAGTTCAGCTTATCTTAGAGTTAGCTCTTCTGCAGATTTATTTCCCTTTAAAGCTTTAACGTATGCTATCTTACTATTTTAACTTGTTCAAGCTTTTTAAAATTATAGCCAGCTGATGTGAAAATCTGTTATTAGTATGAGAAAGTTGATTAATTAGAAAAATTATAATACTGTAAGAGTAACAGGTACAGCACTCTGTAGGTAGATCCTCCGTGTCCTGTGAACTGAGGAAAAGACAAAATACTGTTTCAGGTAGAAGTTAGTGATGTTCTGAGTTTTTCATGAGATGCACATGTATTTGAATGAACTATCCTGAGAGGAGGAAGGGCTCTTGTCCTGTAATGTCTCCCTGGAAATCTATTGCTAAATCCCACGTTAACGTACTGGAAATTTTATTTCAGTTTTGACATAATTGTTGAAAATTCAGATGAAAAAACGGTGAATGTTATATTGAAAATTGTTACAAGAATATCTTGGCGACATAAAGATAGAACTTATAGGAGTATTTTTTGGAGTTAAGTATTCAAACACAAAGTTCAGAGTTGAAATGTAATTTGAAGAAAAATTTAAACTTTATGTACTTTCTCCCCTGTTTCTTCAAGAGGAGTATTACCATTCTGTAATTTGGAGAAAGAAATGAGAAATAGAACTGTATCTTTCCAAGACCTGACTGGGTAGAGCCCTGAGCGGGCTGATCTTTTTGAGTGAGCACACGCTGTATGCTGGGACTAAGAGTTCAGATCTGTGCTCTGACAAACAGTGATGGGGCTAAGGGCTCTGATGGCTTAGGTTGGGAAACTGCTAAAGGTTTTTGGTGCTGTTTGTCAGATCTCAACTGCCACATCCTGAAAGGCAGTCTTAGAGGTAAACGACTACTAACTAGTTAAAACAGTGTTCTGTGAACTTTCAGCTTAGGTACTGAAAGGATTTTTCTCCTAAGTCTTCTAAATGGAAACAGAAGCAACTGTGGCAGCAACTGCAGAAGCAGCTCATCTCAACCAAAGAAGTTGCTCTTTGTTGATACAAATTCTAGTTCTACAGTTAAAATGTTTAAAACATCAAAAAGATTCACTCTTAAAATGCCAATAATAAATGAGATTGAGTAATTTGAATACGTTTTACTGTTACACTGGAAAATGGGCTTGCTATTTCTCATTATCTTAATGGATCTCTTATTTTTTCCATTTTTAATTCATTCTTTCTAGGACACTTTTTGTCTATAACCAGAGATTCAAAAGTAGGCTTGAGGAAACCTTTTCCTTACTGAGGAATATAAAGAGTTTTCAAATACCTGCTTGTGGACTATTTAATCTGATCATAGTGTTATCTGATAATAAAATGAAAAATAGGTGGAGCTTTCTTGAGGACCAGTTTTACGCATCTCTTCACATAAATTGGTTCTGGAGGAGAGAGCAATACAATATAAATGTTTCCTTCTCTGAGTTATTTCATGATTTTTTGTTTTCTGCTGTTAGACAAGACTAAATGATGTCAAAAATATGCCACACTGATCTATTTAGATACTACTCCATAAGAGAAAAAGAGTATTTTTGGACTAAAGCACTGATGCAATCTACAACAGTATGAAAAGGACGACGACAAAAATTGAACAAGTTAAAGGACTGAAGTGTCTTCGAAACCCATCATCTGTTGGAGATAACTACACTGTCTTATTCATAAACATATTAAATGGCACTTTGGAACTAATTAGGTTTTATACCCTCACTCTTATTACACGATTATTCTTGAAGGCTCCGCTCTTTGATGTAAACCTTAATTTTCAACCTGCGTTTTTTTCATCCCCAGTTTTATACTTAGTTGATGTGGGGCTACTCTTACATATGCTTAGAGAGCAACCATTTAACCTTATGGTATCTAGTTTGTCCCTTGAGTCCACCTTCTTGCTACTTGCTTGGAAGACAAGTTTTCCTTTCTCTTTTCATTGCAACTGAACTTTTTCATGCATTTCACCTTGGATTCAGATTTATCTGGGACAGAAGTAACCTGACTTGTACATAGAGTTTGTGGTGGTATTGCACTGGTGTGATTACATTACTGTGGATGATGTGAGAGAAATAAAAATATCTTGTTAATCTATTACTACTGTATGTTGACTTGGTCATTGGGATATTTACTTTATTTACTTTTGTGGGGACAAGGGGGAAGCCTCAAAGAAGTTTAGGGAGAGGAAGGTAGAGAAGGAACTGGCTCCCTGATAATTTGCCTATATCCTAGTAACCCAATGGCCGGCTGTGAAATTTGCAAAAGTCATACTTACTGATTACAGCTAAATGGTCCTGGTTTATTAAACATCAACTTATTAAAAGGCTAAAAATGATCAAGAGCAAGGCACTGTAGTAATTTGGAAAGCTCGTTCTGGGAGGAGATAGCTGTTCAGTATGAGTGTGAGGGGAGAAAGGAGAAAAACCTTTAATGGGATTTGACAAATGTACTCTTAGGCTACCACAAAAACTTAAAACGAGATCTACACTTATATCCGTCCATTCCTTGATGTGCTTTGTTACTGTTAGTTAAATTATACTTGGACCTTTTTAAAAGACTATCTCACTATAGACTGCAGAGGTTAAGAATCGAGACATCAAACTCAGCTCAGCTGATTCTCATCAGGCACTGATATAAGTAGTAGTTCAGGCACTGATATAAGACCGAGAATTGCAATATTCCTGCAGAGAGAGAGGCACAAGTTCAGTTCCCATGACCATTAATTCAGGGAGCCCAGGAGGCTCTTAGTTCACTGTTACAAGAAGTAATATACATTTCCTAAAGGCTTAAAGTTGTCTTGAGCCGGGCATGATTTTAAAACTATTTAATAAGTGGAAATAGGTGCATGATTTTGTTCATATATATGTGTGTGTATATATATTTATATGTATATATACAAAGTATATGTATAAATAAATACTACTGAAGAAATACTTCAGTATTATACAGCAGGGCATGCTGTAAGCCCTCTTTTTCATGCAGAGAGTAACTAGTAAATTAGTTGGCCATTCACTTCATTAAATTTAGTTGCATCATGTCGGAGCCAAGAGGAGACGGTGGTATCTTCAAGAATACCTTCTTACTATGTCCATGGGCTCTTTGGTAAAGTTCTGTCAAGGAAAGAATAATCTATTGCCTTGAGGTCATGTTCTGTCAGCTTGCCGCAAGTGCTTGATATCCCAGTATCCATGAGTTAGTCTCACATCTGTTTTCTGGAGGTAGATGATCCAGAGATATGTGTAGACCTTTTTTGGTCCCATTACTGTCTTCCCTCCCAACTTTCCCTCCCTTTGGCTGCTCTTCCCCTAAGTCAGACTTGAGACTGTGGCATTTTGTGCAGCCTAACATCATGCCCTTTTATGATAAGGGATTTCTGTTCACCGAGAAACGGAAAGACGCTCCTGAGCGGTCATGCAACTCAACCTCTAACAGCATCTGCTTGAGACCTTTCTCGCAAACTGCTTAGGCATCAGAAGATCATACAGAAGAGATTTCTTGAGGCTTCTAGAAGTCTTTCTGCCTTCTCTCCGTCAGTGGTCTTTGACAAGGTGCATGGACTAAAGTGCGCTCTGTACCTCTAAGTGCTTTTTCTGGTTATGGTTCTCTTAGCATGGGTTTTAGCGTTCAGATCTGAGAGGTGTATTTGCAATGTTTCTTCATATTTTTGTCTTTCGGAACCGTGTCTTATCCAGTTTCTTAGGAGTTCAGTCCCTCTCCTAAAGGGATAGTACCTACTATTCCTTTCACTACTGTATCTCCTAAACATGCACAGAGGTCACCTACGGACATGCCCATTACAAATACTGCTGAGATGGAAAACCCTGTATGCTGCCTCAGTATGTGCCTAGACTGCTCACTGCCCAGACTGCTGCTTGTTTAAAAAACAACTTTAACAACTTTTCTAATTCAGAAACATCTAACAAGCAGAGTGCACAGTACCTGCCAGGTTGGAGTCTGTACTGTAGAACATGCTCCAGATTGCATCGTGACTTGTGTGAACATGATAGCTCATTCAAGACTCCACAAAACCTCAAATTCAGGATTTCGTTGTCTTTAACGCTTTCTCCCAGGACTGGCCCAAGTTTAATTGTAGGGCTGCCTCACTTTCTCTGTTTATGGGTGAACTCTGTATTTAAAAGGGAGCGTTAAGAGCGATGAAGACAGAACTTCTTGAGCACCAGGTCCACAAATTCCAGTAGCTCGACTTTCTATAAAATCAGTTTTCTTTTACAGCTCCTATAGTAAGGGCATCAGCCATACAAGAGTACAGTTTTGTCAGATGTTCTGATGGCACAAAAGATGGCACAAAGTTAGTTAACATCATTTGAAATGTGCTGTTTTTTTTTAGTGAGGTTAGTGACCTCAAATCCAGGGACGGTTGGTCAAGAAGTTCTTGAGATTCTGATTTATGGCAGTGTTTATCAAGAAGGTTACAGATCCTGCCAGTGTATTTCATTGTGTGTACCTGGGGCTGAAGGCTGACCTCAGTCACTTCGTATTTATCACAGTTAAGGAACAGCTTCCGGCTGTCTTTGGGGTAAACTAATGTTAAGACATTAAAGCAGAGTGGGGGCTGTCTGATGTCTGAGCGTTCAGCAGATACAATCCCAATTGCAGTGCACATGGCTCGTGCTTATGTGCCATAGCTCTAAAGACTACTACGCGTGGGTGATGAAAGCTTGACCCTAGCTCTTGACAGGCTGGAACAGTTGATTGCTAGGCCTGTTTCCAGTAGTCATCTCAGTGGGATTTGTTTTAATCCCTGAAGCGTGGATTGCTAGTTTATACAGTTGCTTTACAGAAATCTCCATTTTCTGTCTCATGTAGAACGCAGTTAATGAAAGATTGTTATTTCTAGGCACGTTTCCATCTGACTGCTGTTCTCTTCTGTGGCATTCAGTCTCTGATAGACTGAGAAATGAGATCTTCTAATATGGGGAAACATGTACATTCAACAAAAGCTACGCTGCATATCTGTGAAAGAGCAGCGCTCTAGGTGGATGGACCTGTGGATTGATGTTATCCTGCTTTCTGTTATTCCGGCTGTCTGTTGAGAGCTAAGCTTTGTGTGGTTGATAATCATAACTACTAGTCTTCTGTCGCAAGTCATCAGTAGGGA